GGTGACAGAGCAAGACTCGGTCTCAAAAAAAAAAAAAAAATTCTATAAAAAAAGAAAACGAAAAAATAAAAGTTACATTCTATGCCAAATATAGGCTAAGCCTATATTTGAAAGCTCACAAGGATGTTGTGAGAAAGCTCACAAGGATGCTCATAGAAAGCTCACAGGGATGTTGCTGGATGGATCCATTTAATATTGCAGGATGAGTCCATCGTTATTCTCCTTTGATGCTAGGGAATGATGATACCCTGAATGGTGTCTTTTTTCTTTTTTTTTGTCTTTCAAGTTTTGGCACCTAGCTGTCACCAAATAATGTAATTTAATTTTATTGTTTCTGGACGTTATGTGAAATCATACAGGATACGTTACTTTTATGGATTTCGCATATATTAATATTTTGAATTTGTTCTTTTCATAATAGGGTTCGTGAATATACTGACATTTATCCATCTACTATCGTTAAAGAACTGAAAGCATTTTGACTATTACAGTTTTGCTATGAACAGTCCTGTAGATGTATCTGGGGACACACAAGTATGCATTTCTGTAGGATACGTACCCAGGAAAGAAATACTACGTGATGGTGTATGCTTATCTTCTGCTTGAGTAGATAATGCCAGTTTTCCAAAGTGGTTGTATCAGTTTATACTCCTACTTTTGCCCTACTTTTTTTTTTGTTTTGTTTTTGAGACGGAGTCTTGTTCCATTGCTCAGGCTGGAGTGCAGTGGTGCGATCTTGGCTCTGCAACCTCTGCCTCCTGGGTTCAAGCAATTCTCCCGCCTTGGCCTCTCAAGTAGCTGGGACTTCAAGTGTATACTACCATGCCTGGCTAAGTTTTGTATTTTTAGTAGAGACAGGGTTTCACCATATTGGCCAGGCTGGTCTCAAACTCCTGACTTCAGGTGATTCACCTGCCTCGGCTTCCTAAAGTGCTGGGATTACAGGTGTGAGCCACTATGCTCGGCCTTACCTTTGCCCTACATTTTATCTGCCAACTGGTATTGTCAGATTTTTGTATTTTAGCCAATCTGGTAGTTTGGAAGTGTATATAACGATATCACTTTGTGATTTAAATTTTTATTTTCCTTACCATGTGTTTAAACACTTTTTCGTGTTCGTTGAACATCTGTATTTCTTTTTTGTGAAGTGCCTGTTCAAATCTTTGGTTGAATTGGTAGGGAGAGGATGGATTGTTTGTCTTTTTATTATTGATTTGTAGGAGTTCTGTGTATATTCTAGATTTCAAACCTTTATTAATTATGTATGATAAACATCTTCAACTGGTGGCTTGTGTTTAAACTCTCTTTATTGTGTTCTTTTGGTGACCAGAAGCTATTCATTTTTCTTTTTATTGATTGATTGATCGATTGATTGAGACTTTGGGTAACAAGGTCACAAGTCTTGTTCTGTTACCCAGCTAGAGTGCAGTGGTGTAATCATAGCTGGAGTCTCAAACTCCTGGACTCGAGATCCTCCTGCTTCAGCCTCCTGAGTAGCTGCCATGACAGGAGCGTGCCCAGCTACTTTATTTTGCATAGAGACAGGGTCTCACTACGTTGCCTAGGCTGGTTTCAAAGTCCTGGTCTTGATGGTGTGAGCGCTGCACCAGGCACACAAGCTATTGACTTTAATGTGGTTAAATTTATTGGCATTATCCTTAATAGTGCATTTGGAAGCTTTTTTCCCTCTATTTCTTTATATTGCTTTAAAGCCTTTATTTTTTTCTGTGAAATAGATATACTATAGTTCTGCAATCTGCCTGAACTTAATTTTTCTTTATCATATGAAAAATGGCTCCAGCTTCATTTTCCTAACTGTCACAATGTCATTTATCAAAAGTATGTTCTTTTCCCACCGCGCTGGAGTGCCACCTCTGTTACAGTCCAGCCTCTGTTTACAGTCTTTGTCTGGACTCTCCCCTCTCTTCCAGTGGTCCCCTCAGCCAATCCCACACTGTGTTGGTTACTATAGATTTATAGTGAGTCTTGATATTTGATAGAACAAGTCTTCCCATCTTGTTTTTCTTCTTTGGCATGACTTGTTATTCTTGTTCCTTTGTATTCTCATATAAATTTAAAATCCAGCTCACCAGATTCTAACAAAATGAAACAAAGCAGAACATCTATTAGGATTTTGATTGGGTTTGCTTTGAATCTGTAGGTCAGTTTGGAGAGTATTGCCCGTTTTACAATGTGTAGACTTCCAATCCATAAACATGGTACATCTTTTCATTTATTTAGGTTTTCTTTAGTTTCCCAGTAGAGTCTGATCGTTTTCTCTGCAGAGGTTTTGTGCTTTTTTTGGTTGTGTATTTTAAAGGAAATTTGAGGCATCATATTTTATCCAATTAAGGACTTAGAAAAAATCTAACTAATATCATTATCACACTTAACAAAATTAACAACAGTGCTTTCTAGTTTACCACTCTGTGTCCAGTTTTCCTATCTAAAAAATACCTTTTTATGGTTGATTTGTTTGAATCGTGATCCAAATAAAGTCTACACATTTCATTAGGTAGATGTGTCTGTTAAGTCTCTTTTTGTTTACAGGTTTTTTTCCTTTTGGTCTTAAACGCTTTTTAATCTCGAATGGTTCTCTCTTTCATCTTTCTCCACATTATTTATTTGTTGAAGTGGTCATTAGTTTAGAGAATTTTCCACATTCTGTATTTGGTGGTCATTATTTTCATGGTATCATTTTCCCTGTCTTTTCTGTAAACGGAAAATTACATTTGGAGAATTTATTATATTCTGCTTCAATTTTTTTTAAAGCAATACTTCATATGTTGTTTTGTGAAGTTCTTATTACAAAACACCAGGAAACAATGTCTAGTTGTCACACTTTTAGAGATTTCATATTGAGCAGTGGGCTCAGGTGTTTTATTCTTTCATTATAAAATTCCTCACCAGTCTTTCTTCTGATGATTTCAGGGTTCACAAATAATCATTGCTTAAATCTGTTATTTCATTCTGTGTTGGAAAATGACAATTTTTTTTTTTTATTGTCTGCGACATCTGTTGTGTCCCCATTTCCATCCTGTTATTTGTTATTTGTGCCTTCTCTCTTTCTTTTTTCCCCCTAGATAATTCTTACCAGAAGGTTATGAATTTCATTAGTTATTTCAAAGACTCAGGTTTTGGCTTTGTTTCTGTTGTATGTTTGTTTTCTATAATAGTTCAGTAATATCTGCTCTAATTTGTATTATTTTTTCCTTGACTTTTTTTTTTTTTTTTTTTTTCCACTTTTGGATTTAATTGCTGTTCTTTTCTTCAAGGATATTTAGTTCAGTTTTTTTTTTTTTTTTGGCTTTTCTTTTGTAACATCTGCATTTTATATTGTACACTTTCCTCTTAAGTACTATGTTACCTCAAGTTTTGATATATAACATTTTTGTTATTTCTCAGCACAAGTATTTTTAATGTTAATGATTTCTCCTTTGATCATTTAGTTATTCAGAAGTGTGTTGTTTTATTTCCAGATATTTGAGGATTTTGCAGATATCTTTCTGTTATTGATCCCTAGTTTAATTATTTTGTGGTCAGAGAACATACTTTGTATTTTTTCTCATTTTTTTTTCTGAGACA